CTGAATAGCACGTATATTTATCTACAGCATCGTCTATGTATATAAATGGTGTGAAAATGATCATAAGTCTCATACTCTACGTACATAATTATCATCGCACAATTTAAGTAAGTTGCATCATAACAAATATTTATTTTCTTCTATATATAAATAGATCTACCGATATTAATGCAATAAAAATAAAAAGAAAGTAGCATTCGTCGAGATTTTATTCAATACATCAATAATCAAAGTTAATAATTTGATACATGTATCTTGTTATCTATATTAAAATTCGAGTTGAGATATATTCATACAATCGAAATTATTAAAGTCTAAATGAATAATGAACTTTTTTTTATTTCTCTGAGTGATTTGCAAGACAAAAAATTCCGATTTATTCACTCGGCATAGTATAATCACGTCGTTTGGACTTACACTTCCGCAAGTAATATTTTATAGGTTACTTGCCTGTACGATCGCATGTGTGTTGAGTTCTTGTATACGACTCAGACATTTTCTGAATTAGATTGTAATGCATAGATTTGCATTTGTATTGTTTAAAAACACGACCTTTATGATGATTGTTTTTTTCCTATGTCGATTGAAGTTGTCGATCGTTGCATGACTTTATTTATAGTCGAATTTCAACTTTTTATACAAGATGAGTTATTATTAAAATTAAATCAGAGTATTCAATTTTTGGTAGAATAATCTTTGTGAATATTCTATTTAGGAAAAAAAAAATTCTTTTTTTTTATAATTAACGAATGAAAATTGGTTACTAAATGAAAAATAAAAATGCGAAATTCACGATTTTGATGGAGATCAAAAAGATTCGAAATCAATTTAAGCTAAGTCGCATTTTTAATTAGATGAAAATATGAGCAATTTTACATTTATTTGAGGAAGCCATTAGAGTAGTCAGCTTTCAAGTTTTAGTTACAAGTAGATATGTACACGCTGTACTACAGTTCAGTTAAGGATGTAAGATTTTTGGTAGAATGGGGCAATCATAATCATGAAATTTTTGTTAAAGTCAAGTGATAGATTGCATGAAGTAATTTTTGGATGTTTACTAGTCTAGATACTGGAAAAGTGTTTGGATATACGGAGCGATTACTTCCTCTGTTTTCTCGAAAAATGAGGCATTCAACAATATTAATTCTTGAGTCAGAATTGCTTGAAGTTGGAATGGACTTGAATCCTGATTAGTGTATGTCTACTATAAATCTGCTACTGCTTTAGTTAGCCGTGCAAATTTCTATCTCCAAAATTGTAAGCTATATCCTCATACGTGTAGATAAATTTTGGCGACAAGGTGAATTTTGATATCGAGAGATAATTTTAAATAAGTATATCTGAATTATTGTAGACCAAACAATCATGTATGATAACGACGACAATGATCAACCTTCTAGTTGCTCCAATGGAACATTTGATCCTGTTGTTGTTGATAATCGTGAGTAGATTTACTAATTATCTATTGCAAACTAAGTATCATATATTTGATTAGAAGCCATCCAAATGATCTTGGCTGCAGACAAGAAAGTGAGCAAATTTAAAAGATAAGATGTACTTCATTTTCATATTCTATTCACAGGATGATTGACTATCGAATACGTAAAACAACGACCGTAATGAAAGTGAAGGAGATGCTGCTTATCAAACTGGAATAATAGTAACAACAACATTGCAATAGACTTAAATGAGTTGTTACACAAACTAGTCACTTGAGGCAATAATAAAAGCGAGAAAATGTTGTTGCAGAGAATGTAAATTTTTGCTTGTTAAAAATAAAAATATTTCAATCATATTCTGTCCGATTGCAAAGACAGGAAAATTTCAAATCTAGCTGACCATTTTAAGTCAATATGACAAATTCCTAACGAAAACTGTTTTGAAACCAGCTAACGTAAATAGATATTCTATCTTAATTAGTACAGCAATTGTATTTGATCTAAAGCGGCATTATAAATGATGCCAAGAACAAGATGCATCGCATAATAAAAGGCAAAAGACACATGATGAGTTTACGGTTTATTCAGATTCCTTGTTCGTGAAATCTTCAATTTTTTACCAAGTTCAGTCTCTTGTCGCATCAAATTCAAAAAGATGTGAAAAGTTGTATTTCACATTTACTTTTGCATTTATTTGAATATAGATTATTTGATTCCTGTTCGTAAGACTTTATAATTCAAACCATTGAGTATATTTACGTGTGGGTGTGGAGTGTGAGTATTATGATAGAGAGGACCCACACCCACCCTTTTTGTGCTACAATTTATTATTTCAAGATTCGTAGCTAGGCTTTATTAAGAAATATGTGATTTTTAATTTTGTACATGGCTTATTGTGTTTTTTGTGGTGAAAATTATTCATTTTTCAATGACGAGTAAGTGACTAATAGTAAGGAATAAGTTTATATATTTTTTTTACCTGTGTCAGATTTTTTATATTCTTGTAAAATATATTGGTCAAGATGTTGCTTTTATCAAAGATACTTTTCCGTAAATATTTTATTGAACTTTTTGTTTTTCCCTATTTCAGATGTTTTTCTTCGTGTTGAGATTCATCATATCGAGGTTCAATAAGTAGCGTTAATTAATGAATAAGTATGTTTAATTTTTTTTACATGTTTCAAATGTTTTTCTTTTTGATGAAACAGAATCATAGTTTTGTAGAATTATTAACTAGGTAATATAAATTAATCTATTTTTTCAGATTTGTTTTCACTTATTTTAGATGGTTCTTCTGTAAGGTTACTTATCAACCAATGCAAGATTGATTAGGTATGTAGAATCAATGAATTAAAATTGTTTAATTTTGTTTTACTTTCTGATGTTTTTTATTTTGTGAAAATACATTTATGGAGCTGAGATTTATATGTAAGGTACTTTTGATGAATATTTGATTTTGATGTTTTTTTTTAGTTATTTCAGTTTTTTTTTGATAAAATGTATTCATCCTTTCAAGTATTATTAGGTAGGTACTTTAAAAAAAATATTTGTGAACGGGTGTGGGTGTGGGTGTGGGTGTTAATCATTTCCTCAGCTACACTCACTCCACACCCACACCCACACAGACACCTGTACGCACACCCACACCATTGTCGCGGAACAGGCAGCTACAAACGCTCACTTCTACTCATGAATTCTAGCTTTCTCACTGAAACATATCCAATAAGAACAATACATAAAGCCCACGCATGCGCCTTAATGTCGTTCCATCAATGCTACACTCCCAGGTTTCTCACCCATATAGTATATAGCGTACAATCGATAAGTAAAATCAATCCATGCCCTTATATGTCCAAACAAGGATTCGTAAATTACAGCTTTTTCAAGAACATATAGAATCTTGTAGCAATAGTTAAGCCCCAAAAATGCAGTAACATCCCATTAAATGCCGTTACATGAATTTTCCAATTCTAGGTTTGTGAGGGGTATACCGTTTCTTATAGCAATACATAAGCTTCATACATGTTCTTAGATCCCGTTACATGAATTCTTGAATTCTAGGTTTTTCAGGGGTATAGAGATTGCTACAGCGATACATAAGGCCGATACATGGCGTTACATTCCGTTACATACTGATATATACTTATCAGTGGGGACATGTTAGATACTATATGAAACGGTCGATACAATTTGTATCCGTGTTTGCGCAGCCCTCTAATAATCACGATATTTAACTGCACACTCACCCTCAATAAATCTCAAACCATCTGAAGAGACCCTTGAGAAAGGTCGAGACGCGTCATGGTTTCTCTATAAGCACACCCAACTTATTTCAATCTATCTTCTAACTTTCTTATTTCTAATACGATTGAGAACTTTGAATTCTTTACTCGTGCTAGAAAAGGAGATTGAATTGAAGTTTTAGTAGTTTATTCATGATTGCTCAAATCACCCGAATAGCTACACATTGCTAAACTATCTGAAGAGACCCTTGAGAAAGGTCGAAACACGTCATGGTTTCTCTATAAACACACTCACACCCTCACCCTCCCTTAAGCAAGGACAAAACATCGTGTTAAGCTTTGAATCTATTATTGATAAACACACCCTAATAAACTTTGCTACGATCTCGAACAGATTAAATCGTTATATTAAGTGTACTCCTTTCGAAATTTAATGATAATTAATTCTTTTTGGCTGTTTTTGTTTCGAAAACTCCTTTACTGAGATAATTTATTGTTATTTTTGAATTCTAAAGAGTTGTTTTATGATTTTATTTGTTTTTATATTGAGAATTTTAATATTATCGTATAATAATTTAGTTCTAGATACTTAAGATACCTGATGAGTCCCTTAAGCAGGGACGAAACGTCATGTTAAGCTTTCAATCTGTTATTGATAAACACACCCTCTCACCGTCAACAATAGCAATCAATATTTTATTATGATTTTTTCCAATAAAAAAAACGATGTCGACCTTCACTGGGGCACATACAAAGCTGAGATAGAACCTTCTTTTCATGCTACCTTTCAATCTTGACTTACTGCTGATTGAGAAAAAATACCAATGTGAGGCAAGACATGACACTGTTTTATTTTGTCACGTTGTTTCTTTTGCATTTGAGTATCATTTTGAATTTATACGCATATCCGAAACGAAAAATCATTATTTCGTACTGATGTTTCACGGACGATGGTATTTAGTGCCCTCGTGTTAAGAGAAATTCAGAAGCGACTAGATTATGTGAATTTATCATGAATTGATGCCATCTGACATCGACTGCGATACTTAATCTAAATCCTATATCAATCACTTGTATTCACACATTTTCGTTAACTGTGTTTCTTTTTTCTATTGACAATATGTCTTTGAATTTTTTACGGATCGTTTTCTGGGTGACTTTATGCGTATGTTGCATGACACTAGCAAAGAGATTACCAAGTAATTTTTTCTCGATTCGATTCCATTATGTTTAAATATGTTTTTCTATATTTTGCCCTTTTTTTAAAGACATGAACTTTGAGAAACTGGGCGATCTATGTCATATAGATCCTAATAATATGAGTCCATACGATATTATAGCAGGAGATTTTAATGATGATACTCGCTTGGACTTGATTGCCGTCAACAATTGGTACAACACTATCCATGTATTTATAGGAGTCGGTGATGGGCACTTCATTAGTGCAGCAAATTATACCACTGGTCAAGCGCCGATGTCTATTATAGCAGGGGATTTCAACGATGATGATGAGCTTGATGTAGCTATAGCTAACAGCGCGGAAGAAAGTACCAGTTTGTTGCTTGGTAATGGAGATGGTACGTTTCAAAATCAGACGATATACCGTAGCGGCCTCAAACCAGTTAATATCATTAAAGGTAACTTTAACAATGATATGATACTGGACGTCGCAGTGGCTAATTATGGTGAAGACACTGTCAGTATTTTATTTGGTAGAGGTGATGGAACGTTTAGGCCGCAAAGACGATTTCCGATCACGGATTCTCTACGCTACATCGCTGCTGGTGATTTCAATAATGACGGATCATTAGACATAGCAGTAACATCTACTGAGTGGACAATAATTTATCTACTTCTGAACTATGGAAATGGAAGTTTTGAAGATCCAATTACACTAGTAGTTGATTCAGGACCATCATCCATTATTACGGCTGATTTCAATAATGACACTAACATTGACATTGCAGCCGTATATTGTAAGGAAAATATGATTGGTGTAATGCTCGGTAATGGAAACGGTTCATTTCAGAAACCATTGTACTTGTCAACTCGAGAGCATCCAGTTTTTATCAGAACAGCCGATTTCAACAATGATCGTAAATTAGATTTAATATTGGCTAATCAAAAGAACCTAACGATTAGTGTGCTACTGGGTAATGGAGATGGTACATTCGATCTTCCGATAACCTATCCTTTTTCATCAACTCCTGGAGCTCTGGCTATCGGAGATTTCAATCATGATAAGCAACTAGATGTGGCAGCTGCGAATGTTGATTCTAATTCAATCTGTATCTTACTCGGAAATGGGGATGGCTCATTTCGCGATAACGGATGTATGGCAGCAGATGATTTTTCTTGATTATCTTTCCAAAGAAGAGCGATTTTTGAACTGAATACATCATAATCATAAAAATATTGCTGAAAAGATCTTTCTGTTTAATTTATTTTTCAATGAAATGCAATAAAAGAGTCTGACGACAACCACGGTTCGACAGTTCAATTCATGAGGGTGTGGGTGGTGTGGGGGTGGGGTGTGGGTGTGGGTCTGGGCCTTGATGTGGATAAAGAGGCATCAAACCTCCCACCCGCACCCCAACACCCACACCCACCCACACCCACAACCACACCCACACCCACATCCACACGCACATCCACACCCTCAAGTATCTCTTCTCGTCTAACTGGTAGGACATCTGCCCGGATAGCAGAAAATACGTGATTCGAGTCCTGTGAAGAGAACAACTATATCTTATTCTATACTTTAAAAATTTCTACTTTGAACAGAAAGGTATAATGTCTTGATTCAATTCCTTGAGAATTTGGATCTATTAGACTTATGTCTAGTGCCACTTGATAAGATTATGTCAGCAATAACGAAATACCTGGTATTGTGGTAGCTATACGCACCCCCTCACCCTCAAGTAATGTTGATGTTGATTCAAAACATATATCAGATAGATGCGAGTGGGCTACAACTCATTATCATTCATTCTACAATCCACATTGTTTATTTGAACTTGAAATTCGTTGGCTTTTTGCAACATTATGCATACTTGGTGATTTAATTACACAATGGTCACAACGTACAGGAACCATACTTGGATCAAAGCAAGTAGCTTTTCATCTCGTACCGATTCCGTGTGACCCATTTGCTGAATGTGATGCACTAAGAGTTAGCAAACAAACGAAACAAAAAGCATTCTGAATTCATTATGATTTTTAGGTCTTATTTATATCAAACTCAATTCATCGTTTCTATGTGACAAACTTGCTCATCTGCCTGAAACAAGTCAAATTCATCGAATAAATATTTTTCGAGAACTCGTCTTAAAACGGTTTGTCCTATTCATGCTTATATTGAATAAAGAAACTATACAGTTTGATCAGTCAAGCAAAAAATCAAAGTCGATTTTTGAAAATCTCACAGCTAGGCCACTTTTAAGAATATTCTACTCATATTCGTTTGTTTTCATGATCAATTAGTAAATGCGTCGACGAATAGATTGAAACAGATATTCTTCGATCAAAACAAATTCATTTTTATGTGAGTCTTTGCAAATTTCGTTCATCGAAACAGCATTGGAAAATTCGACGACATTTCGTAGTGTCGACGTCAATTTCGATAATTTCTTTATTAATCAAAACATTTTTCTTTTTTCTTTCTTTTCAGTCACGATTTTTTCTTTTGAATGCTTGTGTTAGTTATGAAGATGAAAAAGTATATTATGTTCATATTAGCGGTGGAATGTTGGTTTATATTATATCTGATTTTACAATGTTCATTACAACAGTCAAACAACACGTATCATACGATATGGATCTACAACCGACAATCAGTTGTCACCTTTAGATTGTGGCTTTTATTGGTGTTGGAATTTTTGTTTAGGAAAAAAATGGCGAAGTTCACAAATCGGTGAAGAAAAATATCAAGATATAATGTTAGCAGATTTTCGGGCATTTTGTGATAATGAAAACAATCGTTTAGTTAATTTCTGAAACGAAGTCAATGAAATAACAAATAAGAAAATGCTCGAAAAGGAACAAGATGCCTGTAATGAAGATTTCGTGAATAGGTCAAAGATCTAGTCTATTTTTGCATATTTTTAAGTTTACTCGGTGTTGTATGACAGTGATTATTGTAGATTTTAACTTTCGTGATAGAAAAAAAAGGAAAGAGTTATATGTAAGTTTAGTTTATAAATATTAATATATATACATATATACATGAATTCTTATCTATACAAAACAAAAAAGCAAAACATCTGAAAAATTGATTTCATAATTGAAAACGATGTACACTATTCATTCAAGGGTGTTTATATTGATCAAATAAAAGCCTTTTCTTCTCGTTCATTTGATTGATATGGCTGATATATGCACTTGTAAACGAACATCTTTATGGTTAAAATTTGAAATTCTCTGTGTATTTTCTAAGCATTTACTACGTTCACTAGATTATATTTGGTAATAATTAGTCATCCATGAAACTATCTATTTAATTTATTATTTTTTTCTAAGTTTGTTCACGAAAAATTATTGTCACACCATTCATTAATCAAATCAAGATATCGCTATCTAATGATTATTCTTTACAATTTCAATGAGGGCAAACATGTACGCTCACTAAAACTAGAACTATTTTGAGTGATCATATATATCATTCATAATATGTCCATAAATCATGTTATCAACCCGTTGAATAAGTTAAAATAAGTTGTGTACTATCTTAGAATTTATAAATATAAAACTTGCTAATTTTTCGATGATTCGAACAATCGATAGATTTACGTCATTAGTCGTACTTCAATAAATCCTTTATACCCGGCAAAATTCATTGATACACTAACTTATGAAGTTTATGTTTCAATGAAAATACACAATATATTAATCTCATCGATGTCAATCGATTAAAGTAGAAAACATCTTATTCCGTGTTGCAGATTGTTGTCTATCTCGTTCTGTTTCAACGTTGTTTATGACTATCAACGTAACTAGTTTATGTGTGTTTGTTGCCAAGTGCTGGGAATTACAGTGAAGGACTCTTTTTGCGTTCTTTCTTGACGATAAATTACACTGACAACTTCTGTAGCGTGGCGTAAAGTAAAAAATACAAATGTTGACGACGTTCTCTTTCGTGACGTAGGTAAGCGTGGTGAGCGTATGGGTGGCACTTTATCTTTACTTTACTGAGTAAAGTAAAGTTGGGTTACTTTACTTTACTCAGTAAAGTTAGCCTACTTTACTTTACTGGATAAAGTAAAATAACCGTACTTTACCCGAAAAGTAAAGTAAAGTAAAGTAAAGTAAAGTGAAGTATCTCTTACTTTACAGAAAAAGTTAGATGAAGTAATATGAGATAAACTAAAGCATGTAGTTGATGATTATTGGTTTATTAGTTCATTATCACACATTAAGCACATTCTAATACGTCAAAAGTTGCGTCGAAATACGGACCGATAGCCGCGAATAATCTGAACCTATTTTTAATATCTTGAGAATCAGCATTGAGCCCTCACTATTTTTCAAAATTTTATTTTTTTTCTGCTTTCTCACAACCCAATTTTCACACTTAGGGTTCCCTTAAGTATCGACAAAAAAATTTCTATCGCTGTCCTATTACAAAACTTTATAATTCAATAGTATGAAGTGAGATGATTACAAATATCTCATTTGTTGTCAAAAGAACTTAGGTAATAACAAAGATAGAAAGGATCTCCTGAAAGCCTTAAAAACTAGCTTTTGACCAGAAACTTCATTAAAATACGATTCTATTTAATCGACAACAGATTCATTTGACACAGAATTCTTTTTTCTACCGGCAACTATGAGAACGTCTTGAATATTCGATTCATTCTATCGATAATTGGCAAATACCGCCCAGATGAGGTCTGATTATCTCTCATGATATTTTGTCAGCGTTACAAAATCAGAGTTTCTACAGGTGCCGTGGTCAGATTTCTTTACCAAGAGTGCAACTAAATGTGCTCTTTCTAGTGACAATGTTTCCCACGTGAAAATTCATATCTAGTAAAGTACTTTTGCTCACAATCCTATTATTGAGACCTTCTTTGCCCCTTTTTGACTAATATTTTATGGTTTTCGAATAGAAAAATCCCATCTGACTCCACAAAAGTGCCATGTCTGAATCTAAGACAGAAAACTGAGTAGGTCTATGTGGACAGAGATGGCCACTGGGTTGGGTTGATATGAGTACCTTTTGGATTAGGGCTTTCATTGGTTAGCCTTAACCCAGGCTCGTGGCTTGATGAGGCCAATTTACAATGGCGAATAAAAGTAGCCCCCCCCCTCCCCCCAAAGTGATATTATATTCCATCATTTCGAACTGATCTTTTGCTGAAATATCGGCCTCATTGAACCCTGACCGCAAACACCACCACGCCCTCACTTGATTGACGTTTGCTGAAGATATCACATGTACATCGTCATCGCCTTATCAAGATCATATCTCGATCATTTTTCGACATTCACTTTCTCGCAACCCGTCATTCAAAAGCTCAGAGATGCAGATATCATTAGTAAAATTTTGGTGTGAAATAGCGGAGATCCGAAGTTCGCACTGAAAACTTCTACCAAGTAGAAAATCCTTTTTTTCAGTTTGGAATCGATAACTTGAGATAGAATTGATCAATGCAACTTAAATTTCAGCAATGACTCATCATCGACCCACAAGTTTGTGGTAAAATATTCAGAGCCGCAGCTCCATGCAGAGCTGAGATAGAGTTATTGAAAGAGTTTACCATGTCACAGCTTGTCTATCGATGGAGCTACGGTATTATGCGGTGAGCTTTGGATCCAAGCAACTAGGTATGCAGGGGGACAACTAGCACCAAAAAAAACTCAAAAATTAATTTTAGAGGGTGAAAATGTGTTATTAAAAGTTTTTAAGCAGGTTTGTCACTTCATTTCTATCCCCTCCCCCCCCCCCCTGGTAGCGTATCTAAGCACGATGTACTTTTCTGTTACGAAGCATTTCACCTCAAAACCATTTTGCTAACTTTAGAGAGTTTCTGCTTTATGGAATCAGCCTTTTGTACACGTCCTCTGAATTATTCCGACAAAAAAAAGAGTATTTTCGGAAACATGAGTGTAACTTCACTAGCATTTGACAGTTCTACTCGCTTAACGGCAGTGCCAACCATTTATCGAAGACATGGAGGAAAAATATCATCTCAGAAACTTTTAATTCGCACTGTTTCGTCATACTAAAATGAATTTTTGCTTGTTTTGGTGCTAGTTGTCGCCTTGCTTATATAGCTGCTTGGATCCAAAGATCACCATACAATACCGTAGCTCCATTTACAGGCAAAGTGTGGTGTGGTGAATTCTTCCAATGACTAT